TTATTTTATTATCAAATACATACTATTTTGAGCCAACAATGTAAAACAAACAAATTGTACCGTTTAGAATTTTATTTACGCATCATTAGTGAAATTGAACTACTAGAAATTGCTTTTAAAAAAGGCCAACTTGAAAACTTTGTTTAAGTTGAAACTGCTAAATCATATTTACTTGCAAAAGGTAATATCTGCATTGATTAATGAATATGATATCCAACTATTTCTTTTCTCTTAAGAAATGTAGTCAAGAAAACTGCAGCTGCATAAGCAGTGGCGGAACTAGAAAAAAAGGGCCACCCCGCAAAAATATTTTTTAGGCCCCCCCCCCATATATATATATATATATATATATATATATATATATATATATATATATATATATATATATATATATATATATATATATATATATATATATATATATATATATACATATATATATATATGTATATATATAAATACGAAAATAGAATACGCATTGCTGGCCTGTTCGGGTTTGGAAAAAAATGTTTTTTTTTTTAAATATAACAAAATACAACATCATGTCATGTGTGTAATTGCATTAAAGTGTTTTGAGATAATGAATTTTATTTAACTGTGCTAACAGACCTCTTAACGTCTAGTCGGTCAAAAGAATATATATTCCATGAAAGCTTTGTATAAGTAATGGTGTTTTGTGTTATGTTTATTTTTTGTTTTGTTTTGTTTTTAAATTATTCATTTTAAATACATTTCCTTTTTATATAATCTTATTCTTTAGTAAGTACTTTTAAAAAAATTATTAAGAGAAGTAATTGCTTTTTAATTTGTTTGGTACAAATCTACTAAAAGGAGCTTATGAGCACCACTATTTGAATATTTAAAAAAGGGAAATAAGTCATGGAAGTCTGCTTATCTTTGATAAGTTTGATTGTAGGAGAAAGAAGACTCGGCTTTCACAGTGGTTTAAAAACAAAGGGAAAAAGAATATACAAGAGCGTGGGGCTGTGTCTATAGAATAAAGATAATCCAATTGAGCTACGGTATTCTTTTTAACAAAACAACCATGAACTCAAAAATGCAAGTAAATTTTTTTTTTAACTATAAAAAAATTATGGTCGGCCGTGGGCCCCTAAATGGCGTGGGCCCCCCCGCATTGCGGGGTCTGGCGGCACTGTAGTTCCGCCCCTGTGCATAAGACGAATCAGAGTTATAATTTAAGTTTTAATTTATTAAACACATAAAGGATCATATCAATATATTGTAGTCTAAAGTGTAGCATTTACATCTGAAAAATACTGCCAAGCGAAAGAACACTTTAAAACATAGTTTTAAAAAAATTATTTTTGTAAGCGGTTTTCACTTAGGAAATAGTTATCATGGTTCAGCATATGAAAAATAGACACTGCACGGTTAACAATCTACACCATATACAGTCCTTAAAAAAGTCCATGTTTAAAGCTGCTATGTTATGCAAACAATTATAATATATATATTTATATATATATATATATATATATATATATATATATATATATATATATATATATATATATATATATATATAATTTAACATTTTTGATGACCTATCCTTTTACGTACTGGTTTACTATAGAATATTTTCAATTCAAAAGTTTTAAACAAGCTTCCTTTATAGGAAATTAATTCTGTATTCAGGTTTTAATCAAGTAGTCAAACGACCTTTAGAAAGAACAGTCGGTAAGTGTCAATCCACCAATTCTCATGTCATAGGTACTAAGTAATCACAAGCTATTCATTGGTTTGGATGTTGTTTCTCATTAACAATCACACTACACATTTTTATTCCTGTATTTAATTATTTAGAATCTAGATCTAGATAAATCTGATTCAAATTTTTAAAAATGAAATGCATACTCCTTCTGCGTTTTTATAAAAAATGTCGACGCATGTCTTTACAGGTGATAACTGCATTTTGAAATATTTATTTAGCCCTACACGATGGCAACATAGGTCTAACTATTTCCTGCTTACAACTTCTACAGTAAAACCAGAGCCTCAACAACAACACCACGAACTTTTTGTAAAATACTTCTAATGACTACATTCCTTGTAAATATGCTATCTTTTAAAAGCACCAAAATATTTTCCTTGCTTTTTCCTCGGCTCTACAAATAGATCTAGATCTCTAGCGCTATCTTGATCTAAAGTCTATTTTTCTATAATAAACTATTTCATACCTTAATTATTTTATATAAATCTCTGTTTAGCTACGGAATGGGGTATATTCGGGGAAAATTTAATTTTAAATAATACTATGGCCTATTCGCGTAAATCAAGTTACATACGCAGAATCAAAGTACAATGTACACTAACTATCGTAATCTGACTTGAAAGAGTCTTGATAGCTAAGTTGTTAGTGTGATAGGTTTTCATGCGGGTAACGCGGGTTCTAGACACATCATGTCAATGTAAAAAAAAAAGATTTCAATTATTTCTTTGTTTTTAGATGAGAATGATAAAGTTGCTTTCGGAAATTGGCGGAATACAGGTAATAAGATACAGGAATACGATAAAAACATGTTGTCTGAGACTTGGCAGGACACTCGTCAGGTGAAGTAGAGTTGTGTAGGCGCATAGTTCACCTGTGCATGTGAAGGGATAATGTCATCAGACCCATACTCAGCCGAAATCGGTGGTTTAAAAAACAAAAACATGTCTGAGGTGTGACGTCTTTTTGAATGTGTAGGCTGGTTTTTTTGTGATAATAAGTGACATTATGAGGGAAGGGAAAAGTTAAAAATTATCAAATAAACATGACGTGATTTATAGATGAACCTTGAAACACGCGGTTATTCACGAATAACTGGGTAGTCTTGATAAAAATTTAAAACGACAAAAAAAACAACTTTTAATAACAATTTTTTATGTAATAATGCACTAAAAAGTACAAAATATATTATACATTACTATTTAAATTACCAAAAAGAAACGTGCATGTGCATGTATATGTGCATGTATATGCACATATACATATACATGCACATGTACATGTGCATGTACATGTGCATGTGCATGTATATGTAGTTGTGGATGTGGATGTGGATGTGGATGTGGATGTATGTGTGTGTATGTGTGTGTGTGTCCACGATAACTTGAGTACGGTTACAGCAAGGTTGATAAAATTTCATATATTAGAATAATATCACATTTGTAGATCTGTATCAACTTTTTAAAAGCCTTTACCTTTAAGTACTGTTTTAGACAGATAAACACAATTTCACATATATGTAAAATATCTTATTTTTTGCCTTCTCTCAAATTTTGAACTTTCGTTGACCGGAAGTAGTAATTTAAGCTATTTCCGATTTCTCAAAACGACGAAAATGAATTTTTACAGTACTAGTAATATTCCGAACTATTATACTCAGATTGTTTGGCGTTCACTTGGTGCGCAATTCTATTTTCTACGAGATTCTATTCTTTTTCAAAAAGTTTAAGTAGTTAAAAATTGATTAAAAATCATGTATATATCCCGCGTTACCACTCCCCGTAATGTTATATAAGAATATTCGAGAAAGTTTAGGGGAGATCACTCCCGGTTTATTTATTTTTTGCACGATTACAATACTTTTTCTGTACTTCGTATGAAAGTAAAAAAAAAGTAAATGAATCATGTGACGTCATTATAAATAAAGTAATTGTTCTATAATTTTATAATTAAAGTTAATTTCTACCAATGAATATTTTAATAAATTAGTTAAGGTCTTTAAATGAATTTGTGATTAACAGTTTGGTAAAAAAAGAAGATTATTCTCTACATAAATACGTATTTTACAGTTCTACACAGAGTGCAGATGCTCTGATGTAATCAAACGGACAAAAAAAATTACAACAGTCTACCTATACTCCCTATTTAAGATAATAGAAATCGTTGCTGAACACAGTTTAGATAAATATATTCAGAAACTTTATATACTTTCTTTTTGTTTGCTTTTAGTAGTTCACTATCTAGACCTTCGTGGTTTATACCAAACGAATATATTCATTAGTCGTGGTTTTGTTTTAGAACTGTTATCTCTACCTGGTTTTGCTATATCATAAAGATGTTTTTTATCATCTTAAGGTAACTGTGAATGGGGGGAGTGGGGAGCATGGGGAGATTGCCCTCTGACTTGTGATCGAAGCAATGAACGAAGAAACCGTTCCAGAATAGAAATCTCAGCGAGGTCAGTTAAAAACATAAGAAAACCGGTGTAAATCTGTTTCATTTGTATACACTAGGGCCGATGTATATGAGGCACACATACATATATAGCTTATTACGAAAAAGAAATTTCATATTTTATTTATTTATTTATTCACACACTTATTCAATCGTTAATTCATTTACTCGTTTACTCGTTTTGTAGTTCATTCGTTCATTCACTTATTCATTAATTCGTTCATTAATTCATTTTTTTATTTTGATATGTTGTGATTTTGTGATTTATTAATTTCTAAAATTTAAATTGAGTTATAATCGGTTTTTAATTATTTTGTTTTTGTGTAGGCCTATTTATCTATTTAAATAGTATTTATTTATTTTTTACTTATTATTTCATTTTCTTTTTTCTCTTTTTTTCTTTTCCTTTTTTTTTCTTTTTCTCTTGATAAATTTTTGCCAATTTAAAAAAAAAAAATTCTTATATTTCTATTTCGTTTCAATTTTTAAAACAAGATTCGGCGGTATGCTTTGCCGTGATACGCCTGATGTGGATTTCGATGATTGTCCTGAAATTCCAAGAGGTGAGTTTGTTGTTTTACCTTTCATAGACACACATTTCCAAGTGTTAGACAAAAAGGTATTTCGTTGATATGATATGTAGCAAAACGCTTATTTTGGATAAAATAATGATGCTCAACCATGATTTTATGTTACCTTATTCTATCATTTTGATAGTGATTGTGTTTCTACCCCAATGCTAAAAAAATGTGCGATGTTATTTAATTAAACTTCAAACGTTCCTAATGTATTTTGAGTTTGTTTATTTCAGGTTTGGGCCAATGGACCACATGGTCACCTTGGAGCGAATGCCATGGGAGATGTGATAGCGTAAAGTACAGAAAAAGAACATGTGTACGACCTATCAATGCTGTGTGTTTCACACCCTGTACTGGGGATGACGTGCAAGTTGTTGACTGCGAGAACGATAATTGTTGCCGTGAGTATTTGAATGGTCCATGCGATCAATACATTATTGGGGCAGTCAATGAAATAAGTTACTTTGAGGGGCAAAAGCCAAGGGCGGATTAAGCCGCGGTGAAACTTTTTTATATATATATATCAGAGGCGTAGCGACCCTTCCCGGCGCCCGGGGACAAACTTTCGATTTTCACCCCGCCCCTCGAACTTTTGGTTTGCACCCCCCCTTCAAACTTTCGATTTGCACCCCTCCCTCGAACTTTTGATTTGCACCCCCCTAAAACTTTCAATTTCTTTTTCCAACCCATTTTGGCGCCCCCCCTAAGGTAAGCGCACGGGGACATATCCCCCCCCCCCCCCGCCGTCCCCCCCCCCCCCCCCCTCGCTACGCCTCTGATTTATATACACGGCGCCTTTTTTTTTTGACTCGCCGCTCCCCCTTCTAAGAAAAACTGAATAGTTCTTACACCCTGCCCTAACCTGATACCAAACTGCCACTGTACACAGTTAAGGCAATAACGTATTGCTTTTATCTGGTGTTTCTCTCCAATCTCTCCAATTTTTAAATGTATATATGTTAACCAGTGCCCTTCAGTGTGGTGTAGGGGGGGGGCTGCCTGCTACTGCTGACCGTGAGATACAGAGAAGGAAACGATCATGCCAGCCTGATCCAAATCTCTGGGGTACTCCGACTTGTGGAAAAGAGGGTGGGGGGGGGGGGGGGTGTGATATGTTCGGACTGACGACTCGGTAACACAAAGGTTTAAAAAATTGTTTTAATTGTTTGCTTATATCCTCAATAAAATACCACCAACTTGTTGGTCAGTGGCGTCTTGCAGTATTACATGCTGGAACAGCTTCGTAACCACAGCATCTCACCACATTTCAGCGCCACCTTTTTGGGGATCATGGGAGCCATGGTCGCCGTGTGACGAAGAAAGTCGCACGCAAACACGACGTCGTTCATGTGTCAAGGGAGAAATTCACAACAAGCCGGAATGTTCGCATCTCAAATGTGACGGGAAAGAAGTTGAAACAAAAGATTTCTGTACTTGTGGTAAGATGAGGCAGCCCAGATTTGTTCTTGCGCTGTGCTATGAAGTGCATTGGTGTGCTTTGATGTGCATTGTTGTGCTAAGATGTGCAATGGTGTGCTTTGATGTGCATTGTTGTGCTAAGATGTGCAATGGTGTGCTTTGATGTGCATTGTTGTGCTAAAATGTGCAATGGTGTGCTTTGATGTGCATTGTTGTGCTAAAATGTGCAATGGTGTGCTTCAATGTGCATTGTTGTGCTAAGATGTGTAATGGTGTGCTTTGATGTGCATTATTGTGCTAAGATTGCAATGGTGTGCTTTGATGTGCATTATTGTGCTAAGAATGCAATGGTGTGCTTCGATGTGCATTGTTGTGCTAAGATGTGCATTGTTGTGCTGTTCTGTGGGTGACAGGACAAAAGATACCAGGACAAAATATATAAGGACTTGTGATACCATGGACAATTGATCTCAGACAAAATATCCCACACCGAAATTTTAATAGTGTTTTGGGTGATTTTAGTTGATCTGAACATTATTTTTTTTTATTGACTATCATTTGGTGTAGTTTACTATATCTTATATTATTTATGGCCTATATGATAATTGTAAGAAATGTTTGCCATATAATTTGTCATATTGCACTAAACATTTTAAAATTAGGATTACTAATATAGTATGCAAAGATTAAAGAAACCTTTTCGATAGACAGCGTTGATTAGCTTGCGAAACTTGAAACAATCCAACCATGTCAGGTGGACGAAATAGATCAAAGTAGATGTAATAGCAATAAAGACACACCTTCGTATCAAGGTGGCCGCATGCTTTGATGGCTGAGACATGCCTTAAGGGAAAGACGTCCGCTATCCATGGACAATACAACCAGCATCTAAAGTCAATAGTTATGGGTCGGTCACACCTTAGTGATCAGGTGACTAATGCTTATTTAAATTACAGCGGTCATCGCGGAGCTAAGTATGTCGTAGTGTGCATGCAAATAGTCAGTATTAGTAGTCATTACTCATCTATGGCCTCTTTCGTTACATCGCAGAAAAGGTATAGGACATAAGTTTCTGGTGAATTTATGTTTATAAAAGCCATAAGTGGAGCAGCAGGCAAAGATATTTGGGAATGTGACGCTACAAAATGTCGAGCATAATACACAATACAAGATCACACAATACATGATCACATAGTATTGGAGAGGTGTGATCATAGCGAAGTACTGTTAGCAAAGAAACGTAAACGTTATGCTTGGGTTGATGATGCAATAAAACAATAATTTTATGTTACGATCCTGAAGACCCATTCACATTTTTGAAAGATATTTCGCGTGTTTTTAACATTAATGTTGTATAGCTGCAGATACTTGGTTTTATACATTATCATTTATTATACCCTTCAGGCTAAAAGAGTAAGTTTGTTTTAATTTTTACTTTTTTTCAAATCAAATACATTAAGTTTAATAAATAATTTAATGGTTTGTTAAGTTTAAAATTCATTTTATTCACAATTTTGATGCGTTAAAAAGTAAACAAAACCATACTGACACTCAAAAAGCAAAAGTTGAGATCAACTAAAACCATTGTACATTCTATCACAATTTTGCTTTAAGATATTTAGTCTGAGATCATTTGTCCATGACATCATTTGTCCTGATATATCTTGTTCTGGCATCTTTTGTCCGTGAGATTATTTGTCCTGATATCATTTGTCATGGAACCGTTCTGTGATATGTTGTGCTATATATAAAGACCTGTGTATATACAGGCATGTTTGTGACGTATCTTTTATTTCGTGCAGACGAAGGCAAATGGGTGCTTGATAACTGGGGTCAGTGCCAATGTCCATCTGGGATACCGAAGCGCACGAAGAAACGAGTACCAAGCGACGATACTTCAAACACTACGCTATGTGGACCTCTAACGATGGAAGAAAATATAACTTGTGACGATTGTCCTGGTCAGTTGATCATTCACATTTTTAGGAGTTTAGACATCGTAATGAATAGTTTTTGTCAGGGTTTCATAAAATGTTGAATACAGTTCGATTATTTAGCCAAAATCTGTGGTTTGGTTTATTTTATAAGTAATTAATAATGCTAAGCTATGAAATTATTTATCACTGGTCTCAAAATTTAACTCTACAATCAGCTCTAAAGCTCACTTTATCTAGCAATAACATTTTGAAAATTAACTACTAACCTCTGAAATTAACATTACTTCATCTGTTTAGTATAACCTCGAACTACTATGTAACTAGACATATAGGCCTATTCTAATAACTGAAAATATTTTTAAAATATGTTTTTCTCTAACATTTATCCTAACCCAAAGAAATATTTTTGGTTCACAAAACTTTTACTCTAACTGATTAAAATTTTAGGATAAATCATTAACAGTAGTTAACATTTTCGAACGTTCATATCGCGTGACAAAAGTCGTTTGTTAACCTTCACTTAATATTTAAACCAATTACGTCGACCGTTTAAATAACTCCAAGACTAACAACACCACTTTTTTGAGAACGATATAATTTTAGAGTGTTGGGAAATTGCGAGACGCGAAAAGCGAAATGGCGAGGCGGGAAAATGCGAGAAGGGCGCGAAAACGGTCGGTCACTTGACTTTTTGTCTCGCATATTACCACAACCGATACTTACGCTGGGTGGTGTTAAAATGTAAAGATTTCTGCGAAAAATTTACCGCACCTGATTTACAGTGGTATTTGGTGCAGACTTCAAAGACGTTTCGTTTACATTGTTAAAACTTCCGATTTTTTCGTCCATAGACATACTGGTGATTTGTGAACTTCCCTCCATCTTTTGTGTCGACTTAGAATACCACCTTGTTCGAAACCGCCCGACGATAGATCAACTTCTTTCTTTTGTGTGGAACGCCGAGGCCGCCTGATTTACCGTCTTTGAAGATCGCCGTGCCCAAATCCGCTGTCGCCGCAAACATATTTTACTATTAGCCAATTTGTTTTTAGGTTCAGAAAACTCTAAACTGACCAACCATTTTAAAGTTTACATAACTTTAACACTATTTTAAAAACCGGTGTTTTTTTGTTGGCTTTCTTCACTTCAAACACTAAGGCTCACATAACTTTAACACTATTTTAAAAACCGGTGTTTTTTTGTTGGCTTTCTTCACTTTAAACACTAAGGCTCACATAACTTTAACACTATTTTAAAAACCGGTGTTTTTTTGTTGGCTTTCTTCACTTCAAACACTAAGGCTCACATAACTTTAACACTATTTAAAAAAACGGTGTTTTTTTGTTGGCTTTCTTCACTTCAAACACTAAGGCTCACATAACTTTAACACTATTTTAAAAACCGGTGTTTTTTTGTTGGCTTTCTTCACTTCAAACACTAAGGCTCACATAACTTTAACACTATTTTAAAAACCGGTGTTTTTTTGTTGGCTTTCTTCACTTCAAACACTAAGGCTCACATAACTTTAACACTATTTTAAAAACCGGTGTTTTTTTGTTGGCTTTCTTCACTTCAAACACTAAGGCTCACATAACTTTAACACTATTTTAAAAACCGGTGTTTTTTTGTTGGCTTTCTTCACTTCAAACACTAAGGCTCACATAACTTTAACACTATTTAAAAAAACGGTGTTTTTTTGTTGGCTTTCTTCACTTCAAACACTAAGGCTCACATAACTTTAACACTATTTTAAAAACCGGTGTTTTTTTGTTGGCTTTCTTCACTTCAAACACTAAGGCTCACATAACTTTAACACTATTTTAAAAACCGGTGTTATTTTTTGTTGGCTTTCTTCACTTCAAACACTAAGGCTCACATAACTTTAACACTATTTTAAAAACCGGTGTTATTTTTTGTTGGCTTTCTTCACTTCAAACACTTTAACACTAACCAAACATATTTACATATCTATAATCCTATCCGAAATTAGGTTTTAGGTTTACACGTATGTTTAACACTAGCCGAGCGATTGTTTCTAGGTTCACATAAATTTAATACATTCCAAGCTATCTGTTTTCAGGCTCATACACTTTTAACCTCCCCAAAACAATTTTATGGTTGACATAACTTGAACACTAACCACCAACTTTTTTTTATATCTAGAGTGTGACAAAAACAAGTGTAGAGGCCTAAAGGACGGGCAGTACCCATCTTGTACCAAAGGGTGCAAAAAACACATCAAATGTTGCTCAGGTCTGTTATACCATACATCAATGTAACATCAATGTATGATTTGATATCAAACATGGCTGTTTATATTTAAAACAAATGTTATTATCTATCGTGTATCATACACTCATTGATTTTTTTCTTTGATGTTGATTTCAGGTGAAGCTGTTGTTGGAGTTTGTGCGGGCGACTTAGAATATGATTCTGTCTGTCGGCAATGTGTTAGAAGATCAACTACTTGTGGAATAGATAACAGAGATATTCATGCCGGCCGCCAGGATCTTCCCGATGAAAGGTCGGTTGGTTTTGTTACGTTTGAAGCCGTGTTTTCATATGGTTGGGGCTACATTAGTGTTAAGGAGGCGAAATGTCTGTGAATAAAGTTTATGTGTATGTACATGCAGGTGCTTATGCATGTGTAGGTGTAGGTGTAGGTGTAGGTGTAGGTGTAGGTGTAGGTGTAGGTGTAGGTGTAGGTGTAGGTGTAGGTGTAGGTGTAGGTGTAGGTGTAGGTGTAGGTGTAGGTGTAGGTGTAGGTGTAGGTGTAGGTGTAGGTGTAGGTGTAGGTATAGGTATAGGTATAGGTATAGGTACTTAAAAATTAATAGTTCATGAATGGTAGAAATCCTTCGAAGCGGTTAATTTTTTAAGATTCTGCCGTTGTCACAGTTACCAAGATTTTCCCACCAATTTTTACTTTCTCGTAATTACGTAGTAAAGAGAAAGTCTTGTAATCGTTAAAAAAAAATCGAGATTTTTTGCAAATCTCGACGTTTTAGGGCTCCCTGAGTCGGAAAAACATAGTTTTGCAATCTTGTCCGTATGTCTGTGTGTATGTGTGTGTGTGTGTGTGTGTGTAAACACGATAACTTGAGTACTGTTACAGCTAGGTTGATGAAATTTCATATATAAGTATTATATCAAAATCGTAGATCCTTATCAACTTTTTGAGCGATTATCGATAACCAGAAGTGGAACTTTTTCTACTTTCAATTTTTCAAAAGCCTATAACTTGAGTACTGTTTCCGATAGATAAATGAAATTTCAATATAAGTAAAAGTTCTATATCTCTGCCTTCTGTTCAATTTTGAGTAATTTCCGTTGACCGGAAGTAGTAAGGATAGCTATTTCCGATTTCTCAAAAAAAAAAAACGCATGTAAATTTATAAAGTACATTATAATGTCTCGCACTACGCACATTTAATGTGGCATTTGGCGTTCACTTGGTGTGTAATTCTTTTTTTACGAGATTCAATTCTATTATAAAAAATTTAGGTTATTAAAAATATTGTCTATGTCCCGAGTTGCCATCCCCCGTAGTGTTATATTAGAATATTCGAGAAAGTTTAGGGGAGATCAATCCCGGTTTGTTTTTTAAGGAAACTCAATGCGGATGTACCATAAAAAAGCTTTAGAGAAAAAAATGGTTAGCTCTCTAGTATTAAACTTTTTTTTTTACCGGAGCCCTTAAATTCTTCTTGTTACAGGGAATGCAAATGGTGGTTAACTGGATCTAGAAGACAAATGAGATCAAGAACTGGAGAACCGACTGTCTAGCATACCCAAATACAGTAACCATATATTCGCTGTCGTCAAAGGGAAATGCGTAGAAAAAATAATATTAACGCTTGTAGTTCAAGTGCTTTGTTTAAGACTAATAAAATTCGTAGCCTAATCTGTCATAAAAAAAAACGTACTAGCATTGTGATTTACAGGGGAAACAAAAGCCGTGAAAAGTTTCGGTTCTTAAACATCAAGCAAACCAATTAACCCCAAGTCATTACCTATGACAAGTCAATTACACCCTCTTCCAGTTTTATTAAAAATATTTTACTTATAATATACCCTATGTATCTTCACCTCCAGTTCTCTAATGCAAACACTAACCTCCAAAAATCCTTAACCAAGTCTTAACCCTATACTTAACCCTAACCCTATTAAATACAACCTATTATTCCCCCTCCAAGGTGAGAAGACATTATTCTTATAATTAATTAAATTCCTTACCCTAGATGCCCCTACAATATTTTAACGTGTTCCAAACTCAATACTTCAAACAAATTCTAACTGTAATCAGAGTTATGTAATCAGGGACTGGTTCGCAGTTTCTACCGGGAAAACATCTCTGTGGGGCGCAGGAAAAATAGTTAGATGGGCCCCCAAGAAAAAACGTTAGATGGACCCCCAAGAAAAAAAGCTAGATTGGCTCTCAAGAAAAAAAGTTAGATGGGCCCACAGGGAAAATAAATGCTAGATTTCCCCCCCCCCCCAAAAAAAAAATAATATCTCGAGCCTCTATTTTTTAAAAAAATCTGTATTGGTGTTTATCCATTGTACCAATTCCATTCCTCCATACCAGGCCGTAAAACTCAGTCTCTGATGAACACAAATGCACACAGTCATTTTTAATCTGGGGCTGTGTCCAGTTTTAAATCTTCCAGTGCCTATATCACACAGTCATTTTTAATCTGGGTTTGTGTCCAGTTTTAAAACTTCCAGTGCCTATATCACACAGTCATTTTTAATCTGGGGTTGTGTCCAGTTTTAAATCTTCCAGTGCCTATATCACACAGTCATTTTTAATCTGGGGTTGTGTCCAGTTTTAAAACTTCTTGGGCCTATTGGACACAGTCAGACCACCAGTGACTGTTTTTCAATAACTTTCACAATCCGTATTTAACATTAAAAAATCAATTCCTAATCGACCGTGGGGGGGGGGGGGGGGGGGGGGAGAGTCCTTCTCCAAGTTGTTTTAGTAGAGACGTAGGCAAAT